TTTCAATTGTCATATTTCATATTCGTTTGTTTATTTAAACCTTCTGTAACTAAAGAAAATGGGATTTAGGAAATGCTGTGTTATAAATTGTAAAAATACAACAAAAATTGTCAATTTAAGTTTTATTCGTTTCCAACTTCGAAGCACAAATTACTACAAAGAGAAAAGTGGATTTATATCATAAAAAAGCATAAGTAACATAACCTAAATTATGCATTATTCTTGCGCCCGATTTTAAAGTCAGTTTGAAATAAATAATAAATAAAAGTTCACTTCACAAGTTTTTAAGTGTAAATTTTAGTTTCATAACACTCACTTAGAGTTCATTTTAACCCAAAAATCAAGTTTAATGTTTAAATTTTATTTTTTTGAAGTTTACAAAAATGCATCAAGTTCAAGTTTTCTGAAGATGCATTAAGATATATTCGCTGTCCAAAAGTTTACAGGGAAAGAATTAATTGTTCAAATCAATATGATGATATCATGGGCTTAACCTGCTAATTTATGCATTAGCATTATTTATGGTAATTTATTTTTCTTAATTCTTGAACATAATTTCTTGAACATAATTTTCTTCCATTCTTTTTTGACATTTGCCACTACTAAAGCTTTTCCATTTAACTTAGTGTTTGGTTGAAAAGTTATTTGGTGATTTACTTTCTCAAATCCAGTTTTTATTATTGCATCCATATTAACAGTAGTGCTGTAATTTAATAATATATTTATTTGTATTTACACTACATACAACGTTTACCTTTTAATAACATATCGACATAACCTCAATCTTACTGTTTCTTCTTATTCTTTTTTGGGGCTACGTCCTTGACAGTTATCCGGTAACCTCGATCTAACATGAAAGCGCAGTAAATTTTGCTGATTTACGACACCAGGTGTCGCTGTTCCGAACTTGCACGGTCCCAATATATCCTCCATTGTGATTAATACATCCAGAAGTGGTAGTGAGTTGTTGTTTTTCCTTTTTCATAGCGCATTTGACTGATTCTTATTTGCAGTTAATGCCCATCAAAAATTTGTTCAGTGCTATATTCTCTCTCCGCATCCTTGATTCTCAATGGAGGACGATCGAGGTATTCTTCGAACCTTTTACCATTTAAGAGGTGTCCCAGACTGAGTTCCACTTTCTTGTTCTCGTCGATTATCTCTGTTAATATATTTTTCAGACAAATCTAGAGGTTTTTGACTAAACTTTTTCATTTGATCTTATCTCACATGGCATCCAGATCTGATTGAGTCTTATATACCCAATTTGTGGACTCTTCCTTTAAACAGGGTACTAAGCATCCCACCAGAAACTTTTACTGCTACGATTATATTATTTCGTTTTCACTTTGTTACATCCCAGTGGTCATTTTTGTGCTGTATTTTATAGTCCTCTAATAATGTCCTAATAGACCCTTTTTCATTACGGTACCAGGCCAGTTTCGTTGGCATACGCTAAATATTTTATTTATATATATATATATATATATATATATATATATATATATATATATATATATATATATATATATATATATATATATATATATATATATATATATATTGGGATATATACCTAATATAGTTTCTTCTCGTTCCTTTGACTCACCGTTGTTTTTCTTTTTGTAAGTGGTACTGACTTTTATGTATTCGGTGTAAGCTTGTTTAAAATCTATAAATACGAATGTAAATATAACTTATCGTCCTCTCAGAAACCAGCAGTCACCCGCTTTATATTTCGTAATCTTTTATATATCGATCAAGTGTAGTGTAGTTATTGCAATTTTATCGCCATTTTCCAGAATTCAAATTATAAGTTTATTTTGTAGACCACATAAATCATTTACATCCGCAATATAAATTTCAATTATTTCTACATGCAATAAACCTGAAATACCTACACCTTTTTTGATTTACTACATTTCTTGACACTAAAAATATCGAGCGAAAGGGGAATTTAAGAAAAGAGTAATTTTTCGAAATATCTCGAGCTGTGGTAGTTTCTGAAATCTCTGTACGCATTTTTAAATCCCTTTAAGCATTGTGTAATTTTCCGTGTCACGACCGAATTGCATGAAAATTTAGATTTCGGTTCTATTTACCATCTACTTCACGTTTGGACTGGTGCTATTTGTTGTTTTTTATTTTTTATGGATGAAAAGTACCCCTATTAGAAAAAATAGTATAAATAAGTAATCGTAAATTAAAGCGTGTAATTTATTCAAATCATATTTTAATGAAGTGATGATGAAATGTCATCGAAAATAATTTTTTTAAAACCTTATTTTTGAAAAGGTTGCAGTTGAAAGGATCTGAACGAGTCAGTAATCACGAGTGTATACGAACTTTGAACAGCCATACCTTAACCAATTTTTGTGTTACAGAAAAACAAAAAAAAAACCAAATGTTCAGGAAAGCAAAACCTATATTTTTTTGCTTTTTGAGAATTTTCGTATCACTAATATTTTTAAAGTTATTTTCAAAAAAAGCACTTTTTTCCTCGTGAAACAATTAATCAAAAATGTTGACCACTTAAAAACTGAGAATTAATGAATGTGTTAATGAAATCTACGACATTTTTAAATCCGGAAAAGCTACAGGGTGTACTACAGTCTAGTTCAACATAGAATTTATACTGAAGATGCAAGACCAATTCGTCGAAACCCGCGGAGATTACCATTTGCTAGACAAAAAGAAGTTGAAAATATAATACAAGACATGATAAATGTAGGTATCATCGGAGAAGATTCGAGCCTCTGGTGTTCACCACTAGTATTAATAACAGAAAAAAGGATCTACTACTCGCTTTTATGTAGACAACAGAAGATTAAACCAGGCTACACAAATGACAGTTATCCATTGCCACGAATAGATGAAACACTAAACATTTTATTAGGTGCTAAATAGTTTTCGACCCTAGATTCCTAGATTTAAAAATCGGCTACTGGCAAGTAGAAGTGAATTCTGATGATCGAGACAAAACACCTTTTTCAACTGGTCGTGGTCTCTTCAGGTTTCAGATTATACCATTTGGTCTCTGTAATGCTGCAGCTACGTTTGTACGTCCGATGGAGATGGTTAAGAAGACTTACCTGAAAACCTTTGATAGCAACTGAAATACTTAAGCGAGGTATTTGACGGATTGAAAAATGTCAATTTAACGCCAAATTATAAGAATTTTTCACTATTTTACAGAGAGGTGTTCTATCTACGACATATTGTTTCGATAGAAGGAATTAAAACTGATTAAGAGAAGATTTCAGTTAAATAATATAAAAAGGAAATTAGAAGTTTTCTTGGACTCTGTTCATATTTCCTCTTATTGTGCCGTCTCCTTTCGAAGGTTGGCGGTTCAAATGACAATTGTAGCTTTGGAAACTGCTGCACGAAGAATTTCTGTGGATGAGCGGTCAAACCATCTTCTCAGGTCTTTTAACCACGAGTTCTGGCGTCTTCTAACTAATCTTTTGCCTTGCACTTTACCTTCCAATATGATTTGGAGTAATTCATATCTTTCACCTCTCAACACATGACCCAAGTATTGATTTTTTCTCTCTTTGATTATGCTGAGTAATTCTTCTTAATTGTTCATATTTGCCGAAAATTTAATGACTAACCGAAAATAACAATGAATTCACCGGATTGTCAAAATGCTTTAGTAGATTTAAAAAAACGACTTGCAACAGCACCTATCGTAGCATATCCACAAGAAGATGAAAAATTGGATTGTGACGCTGGATGATCTCAGCATGGAATTGGCGCCTTAGTGTCACAAGAACAGGAAGGCGAAGAAAAATGTATTGTATATTTTAGGAAACAATAGGAAAGGCTGAAAAGAATTATTGCGTTACCAGAAAAGATCTTCTAGCGATTATAAAAGATCTAGAACATTTTCATACTTTCCTTTGTAATAGAAATTTTATAATTAGAACTCATCATAGCGCTTTGCAGTGGCCAATAAATTTTAAAAAGACAGAAAGACAAGTTGCACGGTATATAGAGAGACTTGCAATAGTATAACTTCGACGTAGTACATCGAAAAGGGCGTCTCCATAACAAGGCTGACAAATATGTACCCGAAGAAGTAAGTCTCCATATGACCATAGTTAAACAGGAAGAAGATAATGATCAGACTTCCCTGGAAAACTTTAAAAATAGTCAAAAGAAAGATAATCACTTAAAAGTCATACGACAATGGCTTACAAATAGCTATTTGACAGGAAAACCTACTGATCCTAATGGTCTATTATATCGAAAGTGGGAAAGTCACGATGGAGTACGAAGTTCAACAATTGGTACTGCAAAAATCATATATTAAAAGTGTGTTGCAAGAAGTTCATTGCAACCTTTCTTAAGGATATTCTGGAGTCAAAAGAACACCTGCCATAGTTCGAGATAGATTTTACTGGATCAATTGTCGCCGATATGTAGAAGGTTGGTGTAAGAAATGTGATTTATGCAGTAGATATTCTTGGTCTACTTAAAAATGGGTGATAAAGTCATTTCAATTGAGGATACGTTTGTGTCAAAATATCCTTTCGTTGATCCAGTTTTTAATCAAATCATAATTGACTTGGGTGGCGACGCAGCAAACCGTGATTCTGATGAAGATATTTATAGCTGGAATGGATTATGTAGCGACCAATAATTTTTCTGTTTGAAGTAAGGTTTAACTTTCTATTCTTTCTTTATCCTATAAATTTAGATTTAAAATCAAGCATAACCTTTGCGTAAATATTTTCTGAAATAATGATATTTAATGTACACTGTTTTCTTAATATTCACATCACAACTAAATTTTTGAGGCGACAACACCGCATTCGGAACAAGCATATTTAATAAGAAATAAAGCTTAAATAGTAGCCAAATCGTTGGTAGAAAACTTACCAACTTAAAGTTACCGACCAAAGCTCAGAGTTTCTGACAAGAGTTTTTAACATTTATTTAACAAGACATGGATTGTGTTATGGTGCTTAGTAGAAAGAAAAACACGTACTCACCTTATAAGTTTGTTCAACCGATGCCGTTACAGGAGGAATGAGTCCCAGTAAAACTTCCATCGAGTGCCTCTGTTTTCTTCTATCTTTCCTTCTTTTAATCGATCCCGTACGACTTTCTGGTTCTTTGCTGATGGACTCGCAGTACCGTACGAAATCCAGATCGATGTGGTACCCATAAGGACAGCAACCACATGAATACCAAGAGTAACCTGAAAAAGAAATTATATTAAATGGGAGATTCAATTAAGATACAAATAAGGAAGATTATTATTAATATAAATAAACAAGGATAGATAGACCCGTTCCAACCTTTTAGATGTTAGGTGTATTAGTGGAGCAAACATAGATAAAGTTACGACTGACAAACGAATGACAGCTGTTGGTATTTGGAATCACCCTTAAACCAGAAGTGTCATGGGATGGCATTTCTATAGAATGCACTCGTACGCGAGGATAGTTGATGGTCAAGGTGGTTGGTCAAATTAATTAATTTGTCAATGTCAGCTTAGCATTATTTAAATTTTTAATAAAAGTTTCACTTCGTGATCCACGTGTTTGACGAAGACCACGGTACAAATTGATGTCAAAAGAGGGACGTCTTCGTCCCCGACGTAATCTTGAGATGTTCCAACAGGTCCTTCCTCTCGAGATCCTTCATTACTAGACATACTGCAGGGTCTGTACAATGGAAAATAATTTAACAAGTAAGATGAGCGAAAACCAGACCGCAATACAAGAAAGCCTGACTACATTACAAGAAAATCTGAATTCTACGAAATAAAACCAAGCTACAATTACGGAACAGCTAGGTGGTCTTAAAGATACCACCACACATCTTCGCATAAAGATACGAGAGGCTATGAGTGAGAATATCCTCGCAAATTCGAACAGAGATGCAGGAATTGAACCGCAAATTGAGAGACGATGTAGCCGAAATAATGAGTCAAGTAGGAAATATTGCAACTATTCCTCAATCCGCATGTCATTCTAGCTCAGCTGAAATCAACTTACCAACATTCGGTGGCACGACTAGTTGGTCAATTTATCTAAAACAGTTTCTTGCAACTACACCAGACAATTCGTGGTCCTATGAACAAAAGGCCACTGCACTTGTAGTTTCCCTCCGAGGATAAACCCTGAATGTTTTGCAGATCCCCTCTAAGGAACAGCAAAAGAACTTTTTCAGCTTGGTGTCTCAATTAAAAAGGCGATATAGTGAAAAATATCTGCAGCAAGTGTACCAAACTGAATTAAGGTCCAGACAGCAGAAATTCGAAAGCCGATATAATATGTCTAATCAGACTAGCCTATCCTACCGCTCAGATATGATTTTCTGGAACAACTAGCTGTCCACAGTTTTGTAAATTTGCTACACGACGTCTAAAATGCAGCAGGTTATCCGAATGTCCAGAAATAAAACACTAGCAAACGTCTTTGCTCATGCATTACCGTACGAGGCAGCCAAAACCGTCTCAAAAATCACATAAAAATTTGCCAGGTTCGGGGCACCAACGACAATGAAACATTTTGTGAACTTCTAAAAAGACTTAAAGGTTTTCTCAAGCGAACAGAAAGTAGGAGCCGCAACAGTCCTCCAACCACACTTAGATGTTGGAAGTTTGGAGACTTCGTAAAAATCAATGTCAATATACCGTGCCTCAGGAAAATGAACAGGGAAACGAGCAGTTAAGGGGCGACAGCTGGTTGACTCCAACAATACCCCAATAGTTCAATTAAATCCATCTAAGGATAATTTCCTTGAAACCGGAACAATCGCTCCTATCCATGGATATACGGACGTGGAGTTGCAGCTCGGAGGGCAGAAAATCATACAAGATTTATATGTATTAATGTTGATGATATACGATACGTGTTGATGTCAACAGAATGTAGTGAAGCAATATGCCGTATCTGTGTTGAAGATGTTCTATTACCAGCCCGATCTGAGATCATAGTACCTGTTGTTGCGAAACCAGAACCAGACCTAAACACATCCTTCCAGCAAGAAGTCTAATTAGAATGCACGACAACTCGTTTCCTGTCCGAATAATAAATCTCAACGACTACGACGTTAGATTAAAGAAAGAAGTTTCAATGGATATTTTCGTCAAAGTGTCAATAGTATCGGTAATTGTATCGAAGTCTAGTGAACATCTCAACAAACATCAGAAAGACAAACTTTACAAACTACTGCAAACTTTTGAAGATGTATTTTACTTGACAGCCAACGATTACGGGTGAACGAAGCTAAACCAACATCGAATAAACACTGACAGGATTACATTGGAAGATTTATCTCATCTACTTAGAAGACGTAACAGTTTATAACCAAACTTTTGACGAGCATCTCTACAACCTTACTAGTGTTTTTAAAAAAATTGAGAAGTGCGAATTTGAAATTAAATACCAAGAAATGCCAGTTATTCCAGAAGCAAGTGGTCTTCCTTGTACATGTGATTTTATCTGAGTGAGAGTACCGAACCTGATAAAATAAAAACCGTTAAGAGGTGGTCAGTCCTGTAGACAAGCATCAATTGAGATCCTTTTTGGGCTTGTGTTCCTACCATTGTCGCTTCGTAAGAGGATTTGCTGACATTACAAAAAATTTGCTTAATTTTGAACAACTTTTCTGTAAATGTTAATGTATTAAAACAACATAGAATTCACCCAAATACACCCTAGTGTACAGGAACAAATTCACCCCTTTCTTAAAAAACGCATCTCTTTAAATGGTAGTACTCCGCGGTTTTTTCATATTTGGGGGTCCATTGATCATATGAAACAATAAAACCCCTTTAACGTTGTAGTTCCTTTTAGCCCTATTTTTTTTAACATAATCAATAGCCCAATTCCATGGTAGCCCGAATCAATGATGTCTAACGAATCAAACGACCAAGAACAAAAATGAAGATCGTACATCTGCATCGATTGACCCCGTATCGAGGATACAGTGGATTGGCAGGGCCGCCAGTTTAAAGTAGGGGACAATGTTGCGACTGACAACCGAGTGACAGCTGTTGGTATTTGTATCTACCCTTAAACCAGAAGTTTCATACGATGACATTATTATAAAATGGCGTATATATTTTAAATTAAAATTGTAGTTTATTCTCAATAAAAATAGTAATAATAAGCCTAGGATACAAAAAACACAACCTTTGATTTGAAATACAATCATCAATCTCTGTTATTATAAGTTTTTCAATTTGGTAAAACGCATAAGAAGATTTTGACAGATAATGTACGTTTTATCTGGATAAATTCTGAAGGAGTTGGAAAAATCAATATTAAAGTTTTGCTTTACTTTAGAAGTTAAGATTGTTTTTACCAAATGTTTGTTTCGTATTTCAAGTAGCAGAGCCATTAAATAAAAATGAAAACTGAAAATGACGAGGTTGGCTACATTGAACTGGGTTCATTTAAATCTGATGTAAATACTCTGCTTCATAGCTAGTGAATAGCTCATTCACTAAACCTTCAGTTTCTGTCAGTACTGGTTTTGTTGATGTTAATTTACATTTCTCTTCCTACAACAGCTACTTCAGGTACAGTTTTCAATTCATTAAAAAATTACTTATTTTGGGGGCTTTTTGTAACACTTTTTCACTGTCCAAAAGTTTTTTGGCCGCCCTCGTTCAGTTGACAGTTTGTAACGTTTTTATCATTTTCACCGCAACTTTTGTAATGGTGGTTGTCCACTAAACGGGCATAACAAAAACAAAACAGAAACTCGTGTCGAATAAAACAACACTACAACTTTTCGCAAACTTTTTGGAAGCTCGAGTGTTTTGCAACAGTTGGAGTTTTGTTGTTCGGGTCCCGCTCATAAGCGGTAACATTAGATACATTGATTTGGTTCTAGAACCTGTAGTTAGGCTCTCGTAAGGTAAAATAGGAGAATACCAGCAGAGTGACTATAGACATCCTTGAAGCAAAAGATATGGTCTGCTTGCTCACCAGACCTTAACCCTATAGAGCATTTGTGGGATATACTTAAAATAAGAAATAGAGCTCGCCGGGATAATCCGCAAAACACCGCACAGGTATTACAAGCTGCTCTTGAGGAATGGAACAACCTAGGACAACAAAATGTTGACAATTTTTTTAAGGAGCATACTCCTGCTAATTTATACTTGAAAGGGGCTAGGGGTGGTAACACTGACTACTAAAAAAAAGATAAATAAATAAAAACAATTTAAACATTATTAGTTTTACATTCCAATTTTTTATGTTATTTGCATATGCTATGGTAATGAATTAATTTTTTTTCGAATCCTGAGAAAACTAATAAGTATTTTTGAAAAATTTACACGCAGAATGAAAGGTTACATTATTACAGAGGGCCGAAAGTCCCTGAAAACTTCTAAAATGTTTATTTTAGTAAGTTACAGAAGTCAAAAAAAGAGAAAATTAACTGTGATTTTTAATTTTAAATATCTCATTCACAAGAAACTTTTTGTTTATTCTAAGGAACTTTCGACCCTCGACAATAATGTCTTTCATTCTGCGTTTAAATTTTTTAAAAATATATGCATTTAAAAAGCATTGGCCCGAAATTTTGCGCCTACGCTCTTAAAACCAATATGTAGTTCCAATTAGTTATTTCAAGAATTTATTGTTTTTTTTTTTAAATTTTTATGTATTGGTGATTAAATTAAATTGCTTTAGAATAAAAATATTGTTTGACTTCGTATATTTTTAAATTCCATATAAGTTTGGTTGTGTATATACCTGGACTATAACCAGTAACGGCAAATCAAGTATGGAGGCGATAATAGTAACGTAACTAATCCATATGAGTTCCAAGAACCAATCGAGCGATTTGCTTAACCAAAGATTATTATATTTATGAGCTTTCTAATCCAGTTCAACGCAATGTGTCCAATAATAGTATGGGCGTCCCACTCTTTTTCATCGTAATTAAAGTGGTACGTGAATTGTCTCCATTTAACATGACAATAGAACAGGCAACATTTAATTAATTGGAATTCCTGTATTAAATGAGATACCTATTCCTTACATGGGCGATATATAACTCATCACTACTACAAAATAATACCAAACCAGCAACCTAGGACATATTCGGTGAGAGAAAGAGTATTACGTTGAAAATTAAAGAAAAATAAGTGAATCAAAGAGTTGATAAGTCATTTGTAATTCTCACCTTTCCTAAAATTGACCGATCGATAGAATGTAAATTACGTTTCACCAAATCTGTTCCAAATCCTAACCTATACCAAATCAATTCTGTTTGAAAATACTTACCATTTTCGTTGGTTTCCTTGATCGTCGGACTGGAGTTTAGATATGACATAGTAGTAAGCTGCATTCAAAAGGATTTCCTGGCACTGAAACAAGCACAGACAGTCAATACAATGTAACTAAACGCATGTAACATGCTATCTAGATAAATTTGCGTGATGTAGAGAGAAGATAACGAGATAATATTTTTGGTATATTGTACAGTTAATGTCTAACAAAAATGTTATCAAAATCAGTAGTGGATTTCACTATCATTCTATTAAAATAAAAAGTAAATAAACAGATTTATTGTGTAAAAGCTTTATATATATATATATATATATATATATATATATATAATATATATATATATATATATATATATATATATATATAGAAAACGTTAATTCGTAATGTAAATGTTATTGTTACCAATAACTAGGCTAGATTTATCGCCAATTTTTGGTGATATGTAAGACGACATACATATTGATTATAATTGTTAAAGCTTACAAATTAGGAAATCTTTAAATATTTCAAAAATGAAGAGAAGTAGAATTAGGAACCCTTAATATAGATTGAAAGCTAAGTAAATTTTCCACGCGACAGACTAATACAATACAGGATATATTCAATATTCTATTATTAAGGCCCAATACAAAATTTTTATCCAATTTTTAAATTCGTACACATTTATTTTTTCTAAAACCTTTTTAGAAAATTAGAAATAAATCAAAACACCCTGTATTTAGGTATGTGGAACTTATAAAAGTATAGCTTATTTTTTACGGACAATTCAAAAATGTCGTCACATATGGGGTGTTCCATAAGAAAAAATATAACTTTGATATACCACTCTTTTTTTGAGCACCCTGTATAATTCACCCTGTATATATATATATATATATATATATATATATATATATATATATATATACGTATGCCAACCTAAATTTTAGTATCAGTAATACCAACTGTAACCCACGTGTTCTAATTTCCTAATAAATTTTCTATTTATTAGGAATTTTCGTTATTACGAATATTATTGAATTAGTGTCCATTTTTGTTCACATGAAATGCTAAGTTATGAAAAAAAAAGAACTTTGAGGTTAAGTTATAAACAGCAAAATGTGTTCTACAGAAAAAGGGTATTGTAAAAAATTTGTAACATGCTTAGTTTGTAGCATTTGCATGAGGCATTACTACCACGAGTAATTTGTGTGGGGATTCCCTTGCGATTTTTTCTCAAGGTGTCGACAAGATGAGTTTGTCTGTCCAGCAATTTGTGAGTAAGTTCGATACTGGTATAATAGTTATCTACAAATATGGTTCGACCACTATCAAATAAATGTTTGCAAAGCCCCATGACAAACAATGTTGGTACGCTGTCAGAAGTATTATTTTTGTCTGTCCCACAATATATATTTACACAGTATTTTGAAATCATACGTGTAACCTTGTTGAAGACAAAGTTGAAAAGCTTTTACCCCAAACTTGTGTCTTTTGTTTTTTATGTACTGTAGAAAACTTAGACACCCTCGAAAGCGCACAAGGATTTCGTCAACAAGTACTCAAAAAAAATTAATATGTTTGGCGACCCCGTAGCTGAATACACTCCTGTATACGTCTAGGCATTGACAAAATGAGATGATCGATGTCTGCTTGTGGCACCTCGTTCCAAGCAACCTGAACTTCATGTATTAACTGTGCCAGAGTCATGTTCGATAGGATTTAAATCCGGAGCACGGGGCGGCCACGGCAAAACATTAACGCCAGCTTCTTGGAGAAAGTGCATTTTTCGATGAGCAATATGGGGACGCGCGTTGTCTTGCTGAAAAAGGACGTCTCGACGGCCGTCGAAATAAGGCAGTAAAATGGTTTGTAAGATGTCATTAACATAACGCGCAGGTGTCATATTGCCTTGAATAAATACAATTGGTGATCGGTTACCACAGGCAGTAGCCCCCCAAACCATTACTCCAACTGTTCTCTGTACATGCCTCTCAACAGCAAACCCGATATCTCGTCGGACAAATAAATTTGTCGTTCAAATTCGTCAATGTCGAATTCGAGCTTAAGTAAATCGATTGATTGAATTGAAGTAAATTGTTTCTTTCTGCTTTAGCGAAGCGTATTTGTTGGTTTCTTGTGCAATAAGATTTATGATTTCGTCATCCAAAACAGTAAGAAAATGCGTACCTGAGATATTATCATTTATATTTCACCTCTGGTCGAAAACAGTGAAATCTTTTAAATTGTCACAGGTTACCTCATTCCAGTTCAACATTGTAAATGCACCAGGTATTTCATCAGCTATATGCCACTCAAATTCTCCAATTTATAACAATTTCAATTGTTTAGCCTATTAGATTTTTATGACTGCTAACAGTAACATTTGCACTTCAAATGATGTACTGGGTTGATCCATGTTATTAGAGTTATTAGAAGCATCGAGTATGTTTTTTTGAACAGGAGATGAAGAATAATTAGATGATTCGGAATAATCACTACTTTCGATATAATTCTCCGATGAATATTCAAACATCTCTTCATATAACAAAATACCATCCATTAGTTCTTGTAGTTTTGTTTGATAGTTTTCATAATTACCCGTCTTCCCTATTTTACTATATTGTTACTCCGATAACAAGTAGATCCGAACTGAACAATACCACTTGGATATATAGTGTATAAAATGTGCGATTTACAAGAAGAAGAAGCATTGCGGTATTGTTGGATGAAGAAAGGCAATTCAATAGAATTCGAAGGTATGTAATATAATCAATTCGGATAAAGAAAGAAATTTAATAAAAGGTACGCGTAGGCGTTTTATTTTTTCCATTTACAAATGCAGATACTTATTCGGTTTATTTTGCAGGAAAGGAAGAGATGTTTGAGTACATGACATTAACCTGAGGCGCAAGCAACAAGGAGAATTCCATAAATTGTACCCAGAACTTCGCAGAGATGAGAACCGTTTCTATACATATTTTAGAATGAATTTTGAAAGTTTTGATGAAATTTTAGATCGGATAAAAAATGATATATCACCAAACAACAAACACATTTTAGGGAACCAGTTGATGCTACAGAACGATTAGCTGTTACTTTAAGGTACTACAAAATTCTGCATATTTTTTCTTTACAAGTCAATGTTATTTTAAATAACACACAGTTATAAGTTTCAGTGATGAATAAGATGTAGGTAGTAGGCATATTTTTTATTTATCAATACGAAATATGTAAAATCTAAAAAGAGAAAATAATTTTTACAAGAATACTTATAAATAAAAACAAAGATGTTTATATTTTTTTATATTTAATTATGCACATTAGTACGAGCAAAATCCTCGTACCATTGTGCAGAAGAATGGCAGTTACTGTTACTAGTATTATCTGGTCTTGCATTGTAAACATACTGTTGATTGTTTGGTGAATAAAGAGGTAAAGTGGAGGACGATCGAGAAGAGCTGAAGGAATTACTTGTCCCTGGTCGGATTTCTGCTTGCTGAGATAATTCCTCTTCCATTATTAATTTAGCAATCTTATATTTAATGAGCGTCTGACGTTGTGGTGATAGTTTTTTAGCGCTCGCTGCATAACTCCGAAACACTAGATCGATTTCGTCAGCACGTTATTCAAACTGTGTCGTTTATTTAAAAAGGCTATAACTTTATCAACTGCATAATATGGAAATTCTTGCGAAAGTTTTCTCTTATTATAATTAGTTCTCAACTTTTCTATTGGTTTATAGAATCTAAGTATGGATTAAAGATATAGGCCCTAGTGGACTGCACTACTTCTTTTATTATAAATATGCAAATATATTTGGGTAAGTTTTTGAATTGCCAATTAAAGAACATACAAATTTTTAGGAAAACAAGGTACAAATACGGAAAACGATAAATGCCAAAGAGTTGTCCTAGACTTGATAGACCATTTGGAAGAAGGGTTTGCAGTAACAACTGACAATTTTTTTACGAGTTTACAACTTGCCGATAATTTATGGGAGAAGATAACTCTATGTGAAACGCTTCGAAAAAATTAAACGTTTATTGCAAAGGAGCTTCTATCAGCATCCTATAAAATAGATTACTCAAGTATGTTTGCTTTTAGAAAGCATCGAAAGTTAGTTTCTTACTTTCCAAAACCAAGAACTGCAGTCATCTTACTTTCAATTGAGCATTTTGACGACAGCTGGTGAAGAACATTCCTATAAACTTTTATACATTCCTATAAAAGAGCCAAAATAAAAAACACTTAAATAGTGGTGTGTATAAACTTCAATGTGGCGACTGCCCAAAAACTTACATCGGTCAAACTGGTAGAAACTTTGATAAACGAATAGCAGAACATAAAAGGGCTTTCAAGAATAGAAAAACAGATTCGACATACGCACTTCACCTTCAAGATCATAATCATTCTTTTAATGACAAATTTAAAAGTCTTCACATTCAAAATAAAGGCCTTAAGCTATCTTTGTTAGAATCTATGGAAATCAACAAATTAAAAAACACAGATATAATTCTGAATGACCAACTTGAGACAAACAGTTCTCCCCTCCTCAACCTATTTCATTAGAGACTATAAATTTGTAAACCCAAGCCAAAAATAGATCACTTGAGAAAGGCTATCAGCCGAAACAGCTGTAGTGATAATAGTTAAAATAAATTTTGCTGTAGATTTTGTTGATTTTCTATGTTGTAACCTCTTTCAATACCCTTTATATTTAGATGTTTGTTGAAATGTTGTGCCCACCTATTAAGAACCTAGTTTTTATCATGTAGTATTTTACCGTTAGTGTCTTTACAAATTTTTAATCGTGATTTAAATTCTGGACGACCATTATGTCTGGATTTGTAGTATTTCCTTGTTTCAATTTTATTGAATAAACTTTGTATCTCATTGAGTTCGCATTCCCTCTTCTTACGTCGATGGATACGTTTTTCCTCTCGTCTAAGATGTCTATACTCTTCTTTTTTTCTCCATGTACAACCTGCCTCGATGGTTTTTTAATATGCTGCGTTCATTCTATTTCGCACTCATGATCAAACTAATGATTTTTTTTCTGACTTGGTTTTGCCCAATATTTCAACCGATTTCTGTA